TTTAAAAGAGGAAAAAAAATTACAATGGTAATATTCATGAAGATGATGATAATAATAATAACAATCTTTGTTTTTTTCCCATTTCATCAATTAAGAAAGAATTTAAAAAAAATGAAAAATACAGAAAATTGAAACCATTCTTAATATCTGATATTCAAAATCCCTTAAAAGTGACAGGAAAATAAAACAACTTAATGATTGATGATTTAAAAAAATACATTGAAACATTAGGAAGCATAGTGAAAGAGAAATAGGAAAAAAACAACATTGATGTTAAACTATCTTCATATTTGTACATTTTACTGTTAAAATCTGTATAAGTCATATATACATTCAAAGTAGGCAAGAAATGGTAATTGTGGTGCCTGAAATGGCATTCTGGAAGAACTTCTTTAATTTTTGAACCAACACTGCATTTTAACCAATGTCTCGGCATCATACAGACAAAACACAAAGAATACAAAAAACACAGTCAAAAAAAAATATATATAAAAAAAATAAATAAATGAAATAAATAAAAATGATCTTAAAGCATTTTTTAATTGAAAATATATTGGACCGACATAAAACTCCAGCATTATTAATAAGGTTAAAAAATATTTAATGCACTATTAATTTAAGAATAATTAAATTTATCAATTTAATTTAGAAATGTACTTATATAGATATTTTGCAAAACATTCTTATTTTAATAGGATACCAAGTCAGTATACAATCTGTAAAAAAATACACTTTCATAAAAATATTCATTTTTGACATTTTTTCAGAAATATTCCTTTCAAAATTGTGTCAAGTAGCAGGAAATACAGTGTATATATATATATATATATATATATATTGTAGGTTGTTAGAAACATCTCCAATCAAAATACATACTTGGATATGTATTCAAAATAAATTATGACTACTGTATTTTCAATTGTTTTCTCAGGTTAAAAGTATTTTCATTATTTCATATATCTATCAAACTGTTGTCTTTATGATTGGCATTCTTAACACAATGTTCTCACTGATACATCCTTTGGCTTTCCTCAAGTGTATGTGGCATTCAGATTTTAGAATAATTTTTCTTCATTTTTTGGTTAATATTTCTTTAATTTTATTTCTGATTCTTTTTATTGATTTCCAGATTATCATTTTCCAATTATTAATTAAACAAATTGATAAAATTAATACTTCATCTAAAACACTTGAATCATATTTTTTCCTTTCTCTTCTTTTTACATTTCAATATGAACATCAAAAGCCAACAAAATCACAAGACTATTATGGTTATTGTCTGTTTTCTCATGTGAACTCAATAAGTGTAACATAAGGAGAGGGCAGATAACTAATGTTCTTATGCTACTAACATGATATGGGCCTGTTGCAGGACAAGATGAATAAGCATTTTTAAAAAATATTTTACAATCTCATTTGAATCAGGGTAAATAAGATCACAAGGTGTAATAAAATGGACAACATTGAAAGCAGATTGATAGAACAATTCAGCATTATAGCAGATGACAAAAAGAAAGCACATGTCATGGATTCAAGGCAAATACTCATAAAAATAATTAATAAATCATGTTTATAGAATTCTTAGTGTTGTTGGCATTGGAAAGGAATTTCATTGTGTGAAGCTATTAAACATTCATACACAATGTTGAATTGAAGCTACTGAAGTGATAAAGTACTTACAATCCACACGCGTTGCAAGAGGTAAAAAATGTGTATTATCGCTCTCATAGACAGTGTAAAAGAGAACAAGGCTTTTAAAAATTGTACACCCTGTAGTTCTAAGCCAGGGGTAGTAATCCTACAGGCCTTGTGATATACCAATCTAAGCAGAGGGAATATAAATATTACAAAAGTGAGATCTTAATATTCACTTCTGTAGCTCTGATATTTTAGTTGAGAAGATAAAAATATGTGTAGGAAAAAAATTATTAAATTAATTTTAAGGACTATATGACACATATATTTGAGGGAGGCTGAAAAAATGTATTAGCTGAAATATTTTAGATTGACATTAACTTCAAGTTCAAATACTGAGTCATTAATTGCTTCCATTAAAATTCTGACTTTATTCTCATTCAAATCAGATTATGTCTAACTTTGTCCAAAAAGTGTTACAAGAATAACAAAGTTATCATAAAAAAAGTTTGGTTTAGATATTTCTTTATTCTGACAGAATATTTAGTCGATTTGTAACATACTAATTTATTGTTTTGTTTGTTTGCAAGAACATATGAAATCAAAATCATCAGTATGCTATTAATTAATACAAAATGGTAGCTGATTTTGTTTATAATTTATTTATTATATCTTAGGGTGATGTAAATTAACACTGAAATATTAACAAAATAAGATTAATCACAATAATGATAAAACACATGCTTTTCAGCTGGTTCATCAGTTATTACTTATCTTCAAGTAAATTTATTTTTTAAACAAATCTTGCTTTTCTTTTGATATAAATATACTGTTAATCATATTTTTAAGAAAATGAAATTGTAATGAATAATTCCATCTCCTAGAAAAAAAGTCTAGGAATAATGTTGTTCTTCTATATTGATTTATCTCAATTCCAGACATCTAAGGCTGGTACTTTGTTAAAGTAAGAAAACCTTTATGTTAGTGTATACTCTGCATTTAATAGAGAATATAAAGAAATGGATATACTATTTATTCATTAAGTTTTGCTTTGTATAGAACCAGTTCACAAGTTGATTATAGTACCTGTTATCCCTAATCAGTCACCTAAGTATTGATAAAACTCCATGCTGTTTAGCATTTATGATCAGTTCTTTTGTATTATTTATTTACTAAATTTTCTAAATTTAGTACAAGTTTACAAGCTGCTTATGGTACATATTTTTAATTAGTCACCCATCTAAGCACAAAGCAAATTTAACAGATTAACTTTAGTAAGCTGAAAATTAATATTCTTATACTGTGTTAAGAAAGATAAACTATCATTATATTCTGCACATCTTAGAAAAATAAAAACATGAGACTAATTTTGAATTTTCAATTATTTTTCAAGGTTGTCTAGCTCTGTAATAGTGGCAAAGAACATTTAATTATATTTTTGATGACTTAGGGAAAGTGAAATTGGTTCCATAAATATGTAGTTTCCTGACATGATAATGCTAATATACCAAGTCTTTTTGACAATTTGAGAATTATTCAGTTGTATCTTAATAAATAACTATACTTCTAAATTTCAGGCTTCATTATCATTATAGATCATGGTTTTGTTCATGAATGAGGTGATCTAATAACCAGATAATTTACAGTGTATATCATTAAATAGGTTTATGCCATAGAGCAAAATCTTTATGTAATAGGCAAAAATGAATGCCATTTTATAAATCCATAATCCCAAATGCAAATGTATAGCAACATTTGTTATGAACACAAGATATGTGCATAGAAAGATTTACAAATAATTATTTAAGAAAACAATTAAAATCAGATTAAAATCACTTAATGGCATTATGTAACTTTTTAAAACATGTCTTCTTAAACCGTTAGCACTCTGTAGGTATCAATGTTCACCAAAAAAAATATTTGTTCTATCATTGCAGAATAATTGTATTTGAATGTGTTGTCATATCCTGCTTGGATAACAGTATAATCAATTTTGACTAAAATTAATTGAAACTGTCCTACTTGAAAAAAATGTATTGAGAAAAGAATATTGTGAACCATGGAGAGTGCTAAAGGTTTTAATAATTCAGATGAAACTTTTTTTGGGTACAACAGTCTTTATTTGTGTTATTTTATCATATTTTGACTGGTATATCTTTTACCTACTTCAGATGTATATTTCATCTTTAGAAGATTTTGTAGCAAAGTAAATTATTTTTTGTTAGGAATACACTAACTAAATGAAATTACTTTGATCAGTATTTAATAACATAATTTGTTAATCATTATATTCATTTATACTTTTTTTCTGAATAATTTAAACATTATTCTAAGAAAATATGTAAAAAAACTGTTCCAAAAGATTAAAATTGATTTATTCATTAAAATTTTAATTATATACAAGTATTTTGGATTATCAAAAATAACATCCAGGTTAATATATCCCATATTTTAATAGGATTTTAACTTTTGGTAAAAACTTCTAAAAATTTAACAATATGTAAACATTGTTGCAAGCTAAAAAGCATTAAAATATTTACAAATTAACTTCCATAGTCCAAGTTCATAGATAGTATTGAAATATATATATTTTTTAATATTTAGAATTTTAAAGTCATTAAAGAAATATTTAAAAGAAGTTAAAAGATACTTTTTTAAAAAAAATAAATGGGTGCTTTTTTTTCTCTTTTTAATTTTGTTTGTGAAAATAAAGAAAAATCATGTATATACATCATAGAATATCAAAGACTTATGGATGAAGTATTTTGGTGATTATTTGCTGCATAATTAATTTGCTCAGGTTAAGTTTTTTTCAAGTAATTTTTTATATAATTGATAAAATCAATGAATAAAATTCATATTTTGCATTTGTACATTTGATTATTTTTAGTATTTTAAATAACGTCCATTTTATATGTAAGGACATTTTTCTTGAGTTTTATTTCAATGAAAGTATTTCTTTGCTGTTCTCTGAAACAAAAACGAATGTATATAGAATGGTTGACATCAGTGTATTTGAGAGTGTTGGGTCAAAGTTAAGAATTTCAAATAAAATAATAGCCCGACCAATATCATAGTAATTTGCCAATACACCAAAGATCTGATTTTCAAATCTATAAAAAAAAAAAAAAAATTCACCATAATTTTTTAATGTTTGCTTTAAGGGTTTTACTTTTTAATCTTTTTGTCTTTATTGTAAATAGTAATATTAAGTAGAGAATAGTATTATGGTGTTTTCATTTTCCAAGGGATGGGGATGATAATTTTAAATATTATATTTCTATCTTCATTTCGTACCCACTTTGGTTAATAAAAAAAGAATTGTACATTGGGTTTGTGGAATAGACTGGATATATGGTTCTTACCTGGCTATCAAGACCAATGATGAATAACATCAAGAAGAAAAGTACTGCCCATAAAGAAGATATGGGCAATTTAGAAAGGGCCTCAGGATATGCAACAAATGTTAAACCAGGACCTTCAATGAGAGAAAAGAAAAATTGATTTCTATTTTAACACAGAACTCATATTTTTTTAACTGAATATAAGAGCTTATTTTCTAAACTGTAGATAATATTTTATTTTTAAAAATCTTAGATGCTTAATATTTAGTCTATTTAATAAACATAAATGATGCTTTATTTTTTAAATAATTTTAAATATTTTAGATGATAATGATTAAAGATTTTAAATGATAATATTAAAAATTTTAAATGATAATATTTACCTTATTTTTAAACATTTAGGTAATGCTTCATTTTTTTTAAACAAAATTTTTTAAAATAAATTTAAAACATTTTAAATACTAATGATAATACTTGGCTTATTTAATGAATATAATATTGATAATATGATAATATTATATTGCTTTAAATATCAAAGATAAATATTCAGCTTAAACGGAAATGATAAATGATTTTGATGATAGATGTTTGGGTATCAGGTCATCCCATAAGTAGTGTTGCACCAGTGTGGTGTAATGGTTAGCAAGCTTGTTTCACTAGGTCAATAGGTGACTAAGTAGTGAGTTTGATCCTAGCTGAGTGCCCCAGACTTTCAACTTTGTGCCACATCTTAGTGTAGCTTAGACTATCATTTGGGCACCTCAATGTGGTGTAATGGTTTGCAAGTTTGTCTTGCTAGAAAAACTATGACTGAGTAGTGAGTTCAATCCTCATTGGGTGCCCCAAACTTTCGGCTTTGTGCCATATCTAAGCTATGCTTAGAAAATCATTGTCCCATAAGTAATATCCAAAATATGATGGCAACAGATTGAATAAAACTTTTGCTTCTCTAAAATATCTAAATGATAAAGTACATGTTAGTATATGTAGTTTTAATTGAGAAATTATGTCATCATAGTATGATTTAACTAACTTATGTTATTAACTTGATCTTCATAAAAACAGAACATGTCTGTACATAGGAGTACATAAATGTGTAATGCTTTATGAGTTTAGAAAAAACTATAGAAGCATCTCAGAATATTCATGGATAGATTCTTTAAAGAATCTACCAAAGATAGTTTGAAAGGTTTTATCACTTAAGAGATCTACTACAACCAGGTTGTCCAGTTGAGTTTAATGAAAACCTGATTGGATTTAACAGAGATAGTGCTGTCAGAATTTCTTGGATGAGGTTATCATTATTTACATTTGTCATCATCTTTGTGATAGCTATCTCAACATTTCAACCATTGTGCTCTTTGGCTTTCTTCAGGTGTCAGTTAATCCAGGTAAAGTTCATGGAATTTTAAATGGAACTCAACATCTAGGTTCAGGATTGTTCTATGGGACAATAGCTTAATGTTGCTTTGTGAATTCAGCGACATAGTAATTGTGAATTCTATCCCTTTTTGGGGTATTACAGACTTAGACTCAGTAGAAAGCAGACAAACAGTAACTGAGCAGGATTAAATAAGAACAAGATGAGATATTCCTAGACATCAAAATAAGAATAATTTACTTCCATAGATTAAATAAAGGGTTCAATTTGAAATTCCTTGAAAGTTATCTGGATTAACAGATTCTTGAAGAAGGCCAGAGAGCATAACAGCCAAAATATTGTGATGATAACAAAGATGGAGGCATTAGTCTGAATGTAAATAATGTAAATAGAGATAGTGCTGTTATAGTTAAAGAGTTAACTGAAAAACTGAAGCTATTCAATGATTCATTGTAATCTGTAATAATTTGGCAAGGTGTCTAAATTTGATAAATATCTTCCTTAGGATTTAACATAAATTAAGGGTGATATCAGCATTCCTCTGCACTCTTTTGATTTGAAGAGATTTGTGGCTGTTAATGAATAATGTATATTTTACAAGCATATTGCTGATAATGGCTTAGTGAAGACAAAATAGCTAAAGCACAACCTACAATGTATGTGTTCGGTGAGATTGTGTTGGTGTGTTCCACTTCGCCTTGCTGCCTGTCAATGTTACTATTACAGCAGCCATTTATTGCCAGCAGTTAGATCAAACATTTTTTGAATGAAAAGAGTGCCAGTTTGGTTTGTCACAAAGATATGAGGGTTTATTATGATAATGCATGGCCACATTTCACCAATTATCACATCTGAAAAGATTGAAAACCTTGTCTGAGGAAAAAAGTCTATACATTCTTTATCCTCTTGATCTTGTCCATTTGATTAACACCTAATATAGAATTTACAAAACTATCTTAATGGACTAGTTCTTAAAATAAAGTACCCTCTCTACACAGTGGCATAGCTAGAGTGTGTGAGACCTGGGGCTACCCTTGTGTTTGCTGCCTCTAGTCCCCACAAAAAATACATATGGCACAGCATCTCAATCTTAAAGTTATAAAACCATTTTGTATAAATTATAATATTCATTTCACATACTCAAACATAGTATAGTTTAAATACACACCAAACATACTTAAACTTTATCAGTAATATAAAAAGCAAAAATGACTTATAGGGATAAGGGTATAAAAAGTTAAGACCATCTTTATTTCTGAAATAAAAATTACAACTTTTGACAAAGTAAATTTTTTTTACATTTTTGTTGGCAAATTCTTCAAAGACCATCATCAAAAAATATTTAATTTGTCAATTGTCACTCTATAGACAGTAGATAGGCCAATATATATGTCATAGTTTAAGTTACTTACGGAATTGAAAAGATCCTTACTGTCCTAACATTAAAACCACTTTTATTTCAGTAGAGTCTATACAGGCTTATAGCCTATAAACAGACACAAAAGTGCTGCCTGGAGTAGACCCCCCCTCCTTTCAGCTACACCACTGTCTCTACATTCTTTACATCCAAACCAAAAAAATCATAATGAAAACAGGATTTATAAAGTTTGTAAAATCACTGGAAGGAGATTACTGATATTGATGAAACTTACGTTAATAAATAAATTCAAATTAAACATGAATTTTTATATATTTCTTTAAGTCTAAATTCAGACATTACTTAAAGGATGACCTGATAGATATAACAAAATTAATGTTATTCTTCAACAAATGTATTTTAATTTCTCTTACCTTGTGTAACAACATGATCTACACTAACACCAGTTTCATGAGCCATAAAACCAAGAACGGCAAAGATAACAAATCCGGAGAAGATACTGGTACCACAGTTGATCAGAGGAACAATAAGGGCATCTCTTTAAAAGAAAAGTGTTATTAAAAATTGATTAGATTTCCTGATTATTATTATTATCATCACTTATTTATTTACTTACTTACTTTAATAGAAAGATATTCAACATAAAAAGTATCAAAAAGATGAAATTGAAGGACACATATGTGCTAAGACAAGTTTCTCAAGGAAAAATGAAAAATGTGGCAAAAATAGTAAGGGACTTTTTTTTTGTATTCTAATTTTTTTTTAATCAAAGGGAAGTAATCGCATGATTATTCCCTCTTAGAAGTTCTCTACACCCATGAATGGATTTTATAATGATAAATTGGTTGAGAATCTGATGAAATAGTAAATTATTAAGATGATTTGGAATATAGATAATAATTGACCAGTGACTTGAAGAGTTTAAGATTAACGTGTTCAGTACATTATTGATTGTACTTATATAGTAGCTACATTAGTGATAGTAATTAACACTTTTACTGTAATAATTCATATAACGTTGTTGCCTGGCTGTGCAAATCTATCTTGAGAGAAATAGGAAATTGCCATTTATTGGAAATAAATGTCTGTAAATATGTTGATACGTATCACCATCTTAGTTTTGATAGGATAATCAGATGCACAAACTAAATTAAATGACATAAATAATATACAATATGCTAAAAATAAGTCATACATTGACAGCAAATGATATAAGTTTTATAAAAATGTACAAGTATTTCAACAGCAGTAGAAGTTTAATATAGTGCAAAATATAGTAGTGACATTATGGATAGCAATATAGCAACAACTATAGTACCTACATAATTGTACTTAAGATTATAACAAGTATAGTAGCTACTTTTTAGCTACACAGTTAATGATTTTACTTAATATAAAAGCAAATACAATAGCTGCATCACTGTACTTAAAGTACTATCAAATAAAGTGGCTACATTATTGATAATATTTAAATTAATAGAAAATATAGCTACTTTATTAATTTCCCTGAATATGACAGCAGATGTAATAAATATTTTACAGATTGTATTTAATGTATTACAAATATTAAGTTAACTATATTATTGATTGTATTTATTATGAATGGAAATATAGTAGCTTCATTGTTATAGCTATATTATTGATTTTGGATATGTGTGTTGTGTAATGGAATTGGAATGAGAAATTGGTGAATTGAATTCAAATTCTAGCAAGGTTTGTTACATTCACAAATTGTGCAAATATCCTTAGGAAAGGTATGAATTCATTTCTTCATCTTCCACTAGCTATATGTTAAATAGTAGGGCAGACTGGGCTCTTTAGCTTTGGTTGGCAACCAGTCTAGGAGAAAGACAACTCTGAATTCAAAACCTAACATTGGTCATTTGGAGATTTTGTGGTAAACTATGTGCACCAATTCTTTGTATTTGATTCTTTGAAAAAGTGTGGGTGGTTCTGCAAAGGCATCACCACTATAATCAAATAATATATGCAGGTAGTTTAGCAGTTCAGTTCTATGACCTGAGCTCTGAACCTTTGTGCATTGAAGATGATAAGAGAGGCCATCATTAATAATTGTAATTAATATAGATTTTATGATAAATGTATTGAAAAGATGAGGAGTCAATAATATATTAATCACTTTCCTAATTTAATAATATAATTTATATAATAATGTTTTTGTAATAAAATATATAATTTATATATCATATATAATTTATGGCATTGTATATAATTTTATAATGCTACAACAATATTTTAGTAATCTTGTTATACTTACTTGTATACATCATGATTGAATTTATTGTAACTGGCCATGGTAATTATACCACCCCAGGCCATTCCAACTGAATAAAATATTTGCAGGGCAGCATCCCCCCAAACCTAAAAAAGAAAAGAAAAAGGAACAAATAGAAGAAAAAATGTCTAATTCTTAAATCATACAGAAAATGTAATAATATATTCAAGTGCTATAGGTGGATGACGCCCTACTTTTTGCTCAAACAGAATTCTTGTTTTCACTCTATAACAATACTATTTAGATGAGCTGCATCATTTGTCTAAAATCATTATTGCTTTTAATTATCAAAATAAATCATAAAACTTAATTTTCCATTTTTTCTTCTTTGTTTGAAACTTTAACTTCAAAAACTTTCATATCAAACTTATATGCAAAAAGTCTATCAATCCCATTCCAATACAAGAAAAAAAAAAATAATAAAAAACTTTATAAAAATGAATTAGCCCCAGCACTTTTTATTTTGTAGAGGTGTTTATACAATAACTAGCTTTATTATTAAGAAAGAAAGAAATTAGATAAAATTCAGAGTCCACACAGTAATATACATCTTTGTTACAATTTTGAATTTTGACTCTCATGACAGCATGAACATTTAAACTCATAATTAGGTGTCATACTAAAGATATATGCAGTCATACAAACTTTGAATTTCATTTCTTCTTTCCTTTCTTGATTGAAGTCAGTTGAAAGTTTAGAGCTTTCATATAAACTAACATGAACTGTGATCAGTTCCTCTATACCCGAAGATGTGCCACTAAGAAAAACATCTTTTGATAATCACTTATGAAAACTGAAAGCATTCAGTAGATATGGAACTATTATGATCCAATTCTCTTAAGAAATCCCCAAAATGATCCAAACAAAGCAAAACAAAGAACTTTTATTGATGCAAAAATGACAGTTTGTTCCCTAAATAAACTCTCTCTCTCTCTCCATATATATATATATATATATATATATATATATATATATATATATATATATATATATATATATATATATATATTTGTATGTATATGATAGCTCCTGGTGAGTGCACAAAGTGATTCCTACAAAACTCTGGAGTTAGGATGCTGAAGATAACGTCAATCACTTAAGGGACAAACCTTTTACCTGTATTAATTGACTCTTTTCCTCTCTCTCTTTCACTCTCTACACACACACACACACACACACACACACACACAATATATATATATATATATATATATATATATATATATATATATATATATATATATATATATGTTGGCATACACACAGGCATATATTTATAAATGTAGAACCCTATAATATCATAACTTGTAAATAATTACATACCTGAAATTTTTTCAGCTCTTCAAACCTTGGTATTATATAAAACTTTATCCCATCCAGTGAACCAGGTAATGTAAGACCCCGAATCAAAAGAATAAACAACACAACATATGGGAATGGTGCAGCAAAGTGCATTATCTGAAAAGAGAAGGGGAAAATGGTACTTTAAAAAATAGTGCCCATCATTTACTTACTTAAAAAATTATTTAATGCACAATATCGACTGTTAATTTTAGTTTGTAAAAATTTAGCACAAGTACATTAGGTAAGTAAATAATTATTATTAGTTATTTCAGAAATAATTAAATTAAAAACAATTAAAATAATAAAACAAACAATTATTTCCAATTAACAAGGATAAACAATTCTTGGACTGTATTCATTTGAAATGGTTTAAAAGAGTCTTAATTTGTACACAAACTGATTACTGAAATTAATAGTTTTGAACAGTGGTAGATAATATTACAGAGTCATTCCTGAATAGTGGTAAATACTACTGAAAGGTTGTTAATAATTTAAATTTAGTTAAAAAGCTAAAACTTACTTTTCCCAGTACTTCAATTCCTTTAAATAGACACAAAAAGACAAACACCCAAGCAAGCATCAAACACAAAAGAAGTTCCCATCGGATAACACCTGGTGACTCAATTCCAGTGGTAAGGCGGAGAACTTGTCGTCTGAAAGACAAGATGAAAAATAATAAACACATTTTATTCAATTTATAATCTTGGTTTTAAAAATATTGACAATTCTCACTGAAACCCTAAAACTTGTGGTAAACTAAGACTAGCTTAATAAATATGAATGCTGTAGAGATCATCACTTGAATTATGTCTATACAGCTATAAACTTGTCTAAATTCTAGAATGATAGGTTATCTGCACCTTAAAACTGTTAATAAAATCTTGCTGAAGGTGTAGATTATAAATTAAAAGAAATTTTTTTTTCCTAATTATCCTCTGCTAAATCAAAGGTGTATATTAGACATGGGTGTGTATAATATAATAAAAAATACAATAACTAGATATATTTTACATACTAATAAAATAACTGAATAGTTTTTAATATTTTCTAGTATATTATATTATATATAATGACAGAAAATAGCTTTCATTACTCATTCATTAGTTAGTTAATAAAGAATTTTCATTCATACTATTATTACTAACTGATATATTAGGCTATCCCAAAAGTTCATTCTGTTTTTGTTATTAAGTAGTATTAAGAGTTTTTAGTCTTAATTAAATACATTCAAAAAGATCTATCTTATCACAATTTTTAAAAAATTGTCAAAATTGGTGTAATTTTATTGCTAGATTCCCACAATAAAGATGAAAGGAAATAAACAACATTTTTTTAATATTATGTCACTTTATTCTAAGAAAAGTAGAACTGTAACTTACACATAAAAAAGATTTGTACACTTTATGGATAAGTTACTGTAGATGGTCAGACACAACACAGCACGGTGGAGTAATGGATAGCGGCTTGGATTGAGGAATCGGAGAGCTGAGTTCAAATTCCAGTTGAATCCATTACATTCACTTACATGCTAATACCCTTGGGAAAGGTGTGAATCCTCTTCTTCTCCCTCCAGCTATGGGTAAATAGCAGGACAGACTGGGTTCTATAGCCTTGGATGGCAACTGGTCTAGGAGAAGGAAAACTCTGAATTCAAAACCTGCGGAGGGTTGTTTGGGGACCTTGTGGCATGTAGTGCACCAGGTCTCTGTAATTGGCCCTTCATAAAGTGTTGATGGTCCTGCACGAAACCTTCACCACTATAATCAAATCTCATGTGCTATACATGCGGGTTGGGGACCACCTGTGAATTCCAAATTCCCATGAGACTCCAATATTGGCCCAGCTCAACTCACCTCGGGTGAATGCCATTACAAGAACAAGAAGAGAGAAGAAGATGGCCAGACATGCCAAAAATGGTTTGTAAAGTTTTCTCTTGAATCTTTATTACTGAATAATGCTCCATGTTTGTGTAGACCAGTTGAGGTCAATTGTGATAAAAGTCAAACCATTATTTAAAATTAATCAACATTATATGAAGTGATATATATTAGCTAATATAACAAAAATATCTAAATGTGATTACAGCATTATATGAATGGAGATTTAGCAAACAGGATGAAAATATCCACATGTGATTACAATATTATATAATGTGAGAGTCAGTTAATATAACAGAAATATCCATACTATGGGTTGAAAATCATTTACACTATCTCGGTTATATTATTTTTGACAGGTTTTTGTTTTATCCAATCAATCAGTTATATTAATTTCTATAAAATTTTCATTTATTTTAATTCCTAATTCAGTCTCTACTTTTGTAATTCACATCATAATATTGTTAAATAAATCACTAAAAAAAGTAAATTTTGTTTTATTTAATGCATGTATTAAGAAGCTAGCTTGTTCATGTACAAAGCCAAAACAACAGCTGATAACTAATAGGTGTATTTGTAGAATAACCAATATATATATGTGAGTGTACAATAGCCAATTTTTGTGTGTGATGTACAATATTTAGTGCATGTGTCTGTACAATAGCCAATTGTATGTGTACAGTAGTTAGTAGATATGTGTGTACAACAGTCAGTAGGTGTGTATGTACAATAGTAAGTAGATATATATACACACAATAGTCAATAGGTGTGTGTGTGCATAAGATAATGAATTGGATATGTATAATAGTTGATGCATTTGCACAATAGCCAATAGGTGTGTATATATATGTCTACAATAGCCAATAGGTGTGTATATGTGTCTACAATAGCCAATAGGTGTGTGTTTGTACAATAACTAATAGGAGTATGTATTAACCAATGTAACCAATAGGAATGTGTGTATAATTGTCAGTAGATGTGTTTGTACAATAACCAATAGGAATGTGTGTATAGTTGTCAGTAGGTGTATTTGTAGAATAGTCAGTAGGTGTGTCCATACAATAACCAATAGATATATGTGTATAATAGTCAATCGATGTCTGTGTGTACAATAGTCTGTAGATGTGTTTGTAGAATAGCCAATAAGTGTATGCATACAATAACAGTCAGTAGGTGCATTTGTAGAGATGAATAGATAAACAGGAATATACACATTTTGATATTATTTTTTCATTTTATAATTTTAAAAATGTTTGATTAAACTTAACTGTAATTCTTTTATTTACTTGACTGTAATTTCCAAATTTATTAATATATGTCTACAAATATAAGGACACCAGGATTTCACTTATATCAAATTATTCCTTTTGACAGCTGGCTATTCATTAGTAATTTATAATAGAAACTATAAATGAATAATGGAATATATATACATTCAAACCATGTCACTTAGTATTTTCTTTTTATATGTACTCTCACAAATTTTATTTACCAAATTTTAATCTCCAAGTCCTTGAATAAATTAACTTTGTGATTCTTGTACAGCTGATCAATTAGACATGTTGAAATAGAAATCTACATCTGAATATCAAAAATATCAAACAATACATTTCATAATGAAATTAATGATAGATGTTTTAAGTATTATGTATGTTAATCAAATATTGATTCTTTGTGGTTAATTTTATGCAAAGTAGCTTTACCATCTATTTATGTTTTTTGTCTTGTTCAATGTCTCAGTCTGTTCATATCTATTTATCTAAATGTTAAAAGACTGAATGTTAGTTTCCTGCTTCCAACCAAAGTTTACTTACCCTTGTCTGTCTATAAATATTAAACTATCTGTAGTTCTTCACCACTCCAATGTGACAAATATAAACTTATAATTTGAACATTATTTTCCCATTTAAGTTTACTAACTAAATACTAAATTTCAGTAACTACCTGAATATTTGCAGTTTAATTACGAAGCAATTAAAAAAAAGAGAGAAAAAAACTTACTCCCAGTATTCCTCACTTGCAGATCTACGCATGGAATGGTTGAATGTCATTGCTGTTGCATTAAAAATATCATATGTACTGTTTCCATCTAAACTTGCATTAAAAAACTGGCTTGTATTATAATGTCCATCTTCAACACAGTGTTTAGTGTTCCATGTATTCGTACAGGTGCTCCAAGGTAGCTGACTTCGGAAGGACATGAACAAATAATATAAAGTCCATGCCACAATAACATTGTAGTACACACACACAATTCCTGACACTATTACCATTCCAATGCCAATACCTGTATAAATAAAAAATATAGAAAATTTTAAAACCAATATAGAAATTAGATATGTTTTATGTATCATGGAATGTTTACAAGTTTTGTTAAATTTTCCTTAAGGTAAAAAATAAAACAATTTTACTATATTTCTACTATTAAATTTTAAAAGTTACAAGTGAATACTTTTTAAGGAAATGCTCTTTAAATATCCAGAAGATAAGATTTCATTCCTCTTTGAGTAACTACAGTGGAAAAATGTTAAATGTCTATGAATTTGTTTCTGATATTCTGCTTTTATTAACAGTAAAAAAAACTACGTTAAAACAACTTAATGCTATAGCTGCTACTACAGAACAGAATTAAGAAATTGCAATATGATTATAAATTTGCACTCTATCTAACAATTAAACATGTGGCCTGAATGAATTAATGTAAATTGAAATGTTAGACAAACTCACCTTTGAAAAGAGGACTTATTCGCCATATAGTTATTGGACTCAAACTAGCAAACTGGGCATAAGACACTTCAAGGAAGAACAGTGGAACACCACAAAGGATCAAAAACAAAAAATATGGAATGAAAAAGGCTCCTGAAAAAGAAAATAATACAATTTACTAATTTATGATATTGATTTTTAGTTTTGGAAGATTCTTAAAGTTGCAAATATATCTTAAAGATACACTTTTCATCTTAGATGCAAACCATACCATCAAACTATCATTTATTAATAAAATAAAAAAAAACCTTTCAGTTTATTTGCTCTTAATTATAATTACATTTATAAAAAAGAAATGTGAATCAGTTTGGCTTAGATTTTGGATCAGTAATTCTTATCATGGTTGATAATACCAGCTTGGGAACACAATGATCTCACAAGGAGGCATTAAGCATTTAGGGGAGTTATGAGGGCACTATATTTTTAACAAGGCAATAAGATTATTTAGCTTTCTGAAAACTGGTTGGAACAAGTCAAAATACTTTATATATATACATTTGTTTATCTTTTTGCCTATATATTTACATTTTGAGGTACATTTTAAACACTTATCTGCAGTTGCACTATGAGCATGCAACAAAATGTAAAATTGAGACATTGTATTGAATTGACTCTGCTCCATTTACCAGTGCATTTCTAACAGATGGGAACACCAGTTGATACCAATAGCAGGAACCACTGACTTGATTAATCTGTTGTTATTTTTGTCAGTTTTGAATAATGCTATCATTATAAAACTGCAATAATTGGTAGCATTCTGGCAGACTAGTGAGAAAAAGCAAATTACTTCTACAACTTCTTATTCTTTATAAGCTCTTGGCAATATTTTTATAACTGTCATTCTCACTGACTGTTCTGCCATCTATTTAAACAAACTTGTTCTTGATGTTTTCATCTGTCCTTCTTGCCTATTGATGACATTCATGTTGTGTGTTCTGTTTTCCAAACCCTCTTTCCTCATTATGCATATCAGAAATTCCAACTGTCCTTTTCTAAGTATAAGTGTCTTAATTTCAATTTCTATTAAAACTTCCTCATTGCTTACTTGTTCCATATATGGTATTCTCAGCATTCTTCTGTAGAATCACATCTCTATTGCCTCAAGTCTTCTCTTCATCTGTGAAGAAATTGTTCAGCACTCTCTTCCATATAGAAGAGTTTAGTACACTTTTCTTTGTTTTTAATGAAATTTTTCTGTTCCTTTGTTTAGCTTCTGGAAGGCATATTTTGCTATTCCAATGCACTTTCAGATTTTGGTGTCACATTTTCTGTCACCTTTTAAAACATCCCAAATATTTAAATTTCTGTCTTTGCTTAACTTTGACCTCTCCATTTCAAAGCTTGCATCTTGGTCTGTTCCCCTTGTTAATGACAACATATTCTGTCTTCTTACAATTGATGGTTAGTCCTTTCTTCTCACCTTCCTTTACTACATTGTTTAGGAGTTTTATTTCTTTGTCTGTCATCAACACTATATTACATCGATATTATATTATATGTGTATCTTATATTGTTAAACTTGTGTTTGCCACCCCCTAAAAACAATTTGGTAAAGAACAATGATTGGCTCTCAAGTCTTGGTTACAAATAGTTCAAGGGAAGGAAAATTATGAATTCCAAAGTGGGGAGGAATCAAACAGGAAACAAATCATAGCAATTACAGATAATAAAGAAAAGGCATTTGTGGAGAATCATGATTGCTGGTGTCTTGAAATGACATGGTATTTTTAAAAATTTTGTTTAACTTACCTCCACCACTTTTATAACAAAGGTAAGGAAATCGCCAAATATTGCCAAGACCAACAGCATAACCAATACATGTAAGAATGAAATCAAGTTGTCCTGTCCATCCTCCCCGTTCTGTATTTTTCTCTTTTGGAGAAGCTATATCAACAGCACAAGTTTTAGATTCAAGCATCTTCTGTGAAATCTGAAATATATAAAGAAAAAGAATTTTCTTTTTTAATCTACATTGTTCAGTCAAATGAAATCTATAGTTATTTAATAGGAATACATTTTAAGATGTCTTTGTACAAAAAAAAAAAATAAAAATAAAAATCATCATTAGATTATTATACTAATTCTTTTATTTGTTCATTAAGTTTAAATTCTAAAGTTAATATTTCTAGATAAGTTTTGCAAAAGTAATAGAAAAAAAAGAAAGATGACAAGTAACATTGAAAAAAGGAAGGAAGGAATGATGGAATATAGGCAAGAAAAGAGAAGAAAAAACAATGAATAAAATGTTCAAGAAAATTAAAGTCAGAAAGAAAAGATGGAGTGTACAAAAATTATAGAGGATTTGATTTTATACAACTTAGCAGCTTCTTGTGGGTTATTTAAAGCTGTAACATCTTTTGGGATAGTAAGAACAATTCATCTTTTTTGTGAGTGAATATTACATTCATAAATTTATTTTGAGATAAAAATTATTTTGTTCAAATACAAATCCTATTATTTAATCCATAGTTAGTGGGGAGAAGATTCATACCTTAATTTATAAGGGAAAGAACAGCAGAGAGAGAAAGAACAATGAGAGTTTAGTTAAGTAAGGGTATTGTATTGAAATGCTTCTATAAATTATTTGATGATATAAAAGTTTTCATGAAAATAAAATAAAATAAAATATGTCTTAATTTGAAGATATTGAATGAATACAAGATTTAGACTTTATACTTGACATTACTAGAAAGCACTAAATTGGTGAATGAACTTTCTTCATTCATCAAGTTTGTTTGATTTACAATAATGATAGGGGATATATTTCACATTATAACTTTGAAATTACTTAAATCTTCTACCACTTATGAAGAAATATCCTATGAAAAGTACAGCTATGTAAATTATGGACTTTCAGAAAAAAACTTCTTAAGTTTATATGAATTGAAGCAAAAGTTCCCAATTTTCCTGTATTCCTTTTCTGTTGACATAAACATTGTCTCTGAAAAACTTCAACTTTGGTGACCTAGCTCTCAAAGTTATGTGCCCTTGCTGATTATCTGCCCCTAGTTCCAGCTCCTGCCATGTATTCTTTCTATCAATCGGTTTTCTCAAGAACTGTATGTATAAGCAATTTGTTCCTGCTCTAAAGACTTAGAGAGCTGCATATATACCATATGGATAGATTTTAATCACACATCCCTGGATCCACACTTTGCTAATATTTCACATTAAAGTTATAATGTACATTCTCTATTTCAAATTAAAGTTATAATGTATATTTTCCATTTACTCTGGCCTACATTATAAATAAGGTTTTTAATAAAAGTTATCCTTATCTAGCTAACAGGACTAAGTTAATGTTTCAATCTAGCCTTAAAAACCAAATGATATAGTTAAATAATTTGAAATGATCAAAGACCTTTATTTCATTGTTTGCTTGTAATTTGACTGATTGTAAAAATAAGAAAATGTTTCACTATTGGTGAATTCTACAAATGTGAGCATATTTATATCTGATAACCTCCTTTAGTATAGAATAATCCATAACAATTTCTTTTTGCTGAATTAGAATTTAACTTACAAGATTTACTAAAAACAGTATAGATAAAAATGCTTATTGATTAAATAAAAAATATTAGAAACATAAAGGAATTAGCCAAAACTAATAGATGTTTATATTTTAAATATTTTACACGACCTCTAGCCTATAATAATTATTATATTTCCATATACAAAAGTTTCAAGCTACCCCAGAATTAGCAGAGGATGAACTTGACAGAAGAGTGAAAAAAATAAAAATAAAAATAAATAAATAAATAAATAAAATATTTCTTAGAGTCATTGAAAAAAGAATGGAAACAATTATCAAACTTATATTTTGAGAAACTTTTGCAACAAATGCCAAAAACTTATGCTGCATAAATCAAGGCAAAGCGATGATATTTTGATAAGAGAAAAATTTAATCATAAAATGTTTTATTTCTTTTTGTCATAATAAAATTTCTAACAAAAATTATGTCTCACTTTTTTGACCAAGTATAATAATTTCCTCTTATTTAAAGAACAAAACAACTACTTTTGGGACTAATTTAAAAAATTGCCAAGGGATTTCTCAAACTTTTGAAATGTAGTGTATAGATTTCATACACTAAATGTAACAACTATGATGAAATATAATTATTATATTTCATAATTTTTTATATTTGTTTTATTAATAAATTTTATAATGTAGAAAAATAAAGTAGTTAGTTTTAGAATTCCAAAACAATTTTAGATAAATGATTTTTTGTTATTCTGAAATTAATCAAAGAATGCATCATAGTTTTTCTTTTCCTTACTCAATTGTGAATTGTGAAGACAAACTCATTGTAACTGTGATCATTATAATGATGATTTTTGAGAAATTAAACATCAAGAAGCTAATTAAAGAAGTAGAAAGGATTATTATAAAAATAGACATCATATGTCTATATTATTCAATGAAACATGCTTGAATGAAGATATGCTGTCTAAATATACGCTTATATATAATATATTATAAAGTGAAACATGTTAAATTTATAAATGTTTCTTTTAGTGTGGATAATTAAAGATTAAAATGCATATAACAAATTATATATTAATTGTATTAAAACCTTAAAAATATAGCTAGATATGAGAATTAACTTTTTGAGCTAAATTAATTATGCTCTTAATCTTTACATTTTTTTTGAATTTCTTAAGCTGACTACAACAACAAACTATCACAAACCCAAGCTGAAACTAAGTCTTCACTGCCAGTGGAACGATGAGATTTGAGATAAGTCTCCAGTTCTAGACTGGAGTTGAACTATGACTTGAAATAAAGATCATCATGGGTTCTTTTTATGTTTATATTTTCTTTTTTTTCAAATCCTGGGATGTTTTATCAAATGTGTTTCTAGGGACATTGTTTATATTCTCTTTAAAGAAACACCAACTTCTGATACAAAATTAGCTTTGATTTTCAATTTTTTATATTCATAACTAATTTTCAATTCTCTTTCTGATAACAGTAGATCACAATTATCTTATATATTTCCTATGCTCATTCAACTTTACTCTCTCTCTCACACACACATACACACACAGAGATAAAGAATTTATCTATATTTAGACTAAAATGCATAGTGTTATTTTTTTCTTATAGTTAAAAAGTACTTAAACTGATAAAAACTTTATGTCAGTTACCTTGACATTGCTAAGCCATCAAGTTCAAATATAAGTAGTGACCATGGTGAACTATACTCTGATATATAACCTGCCATGGTAGTGACCCAAACCCTTAATCTTAAAACAAATATTTTATCAACTGCATTCGCCAGGCAGGTGGTCCACAAACTAAAAGAAAGAAAGGCATGCTCTTGATCATATGTCTGATAGATGTCCACACACACATGCACAAACTTAAAAAGGTTGATCTTTTTAACTTCTTGTGATGGATGATAAAATATGAATACTCAATATTTTAAAATAATCATATTCAGTTTCTTTTTTTTTTTTAATTGGTACACACATCTTTATTCAAACATAACATACAAGTATATATCTTGTGAAAAGTTATCTATTTTAATAGATGTTGGTAGACTTTATAATAGAAAACAAATGTCTAATGGTGATGGCTTTATATTTGATTTTATATTTAAGATTTTGTTATATCAAACTATTCAAATATTGTCATATGAAACTACATGGAATTTTTTCAGTATTTATTGTCATATTTAATTTTCTACTAGACATTTTCCCTAAATTTTTGTAGAACTTAATATTTATATTATTTATAAGGACTAGTCCTTGGAGAATTTAAATCATCAAATTTTTATTTGTCAAACTGGACACTCAGTTATAGAAAATTTGCTCTGAATCATAAAATAAAATAAAAAAAAAACTTTTAATTGCTTTTATGAATAAGATATATTATGGAAACTGTTGTCTTAAGAAAATAATTTTTCAATGAATAAAGAATTTTTACAAGAATTGTTTTCATTTTTTAAAAATTTTAATTATAATAATTCATAAAATTTAAAACTTTTAAAAATTCTCTATTAATTTATAGCAATTAAACGATATTGTTATTAAGTAAAAACTTACTCATCATAAAAGGAAACTTACTACAATTCAGTATTTTAAAAAGAATTTTTGAATATTTTTTCTGTATAATGTGCTGATTTTTGTAAATACTTACATCTATATATAACATTATCAGAAAATAAAAGTGGTAACTATAGTAAATTTAAAATTTATTGGTAATTCCCTAACATTTCCTCAATAAGCATCTTCATAAGTAAGCCTAAAGCCAAAGTACCTAAAATGTAATAAAATATTAGATTACTTAGAATATTTTCTTAAAGTTTTTAAGATTACTGGTTAGTTAAAAAATTATCTAAAAAAGGTGTTCACGTATTCGTCACATAATTAAGTTTTTTTTTTTATGTGATGCACGTCTTGACAATCGTGTATCTTTTGATTCATGACTGTCTAGGCAGAAGATTTTCCTGCATTAGGTTGCTATTTTTTTCTGTGGTATAGGACCCAGTCTATCCTGTTATTCAATCCACAGCTGGGGGGGAGTAGAGATGGAGTTATATCTTTACTAAGGGTACTTGCATGTTAGTGAATATAACAAACCCAACAGGAATTCAAACTTGGCTCTCTGGTTTTTCATTCCAAGCCATTATCCATTACATCACCCACAAACATGTTAACACCTCCATAAAAACATCCACCTCTGTAGTATTAATAAATGATTTTCTGTAATATTTGAAACTAAAAATAATATTTGTTTTAATTCAGATTAATCTTCCTCAAATGAAGTTTCAGAAAAGTATATTTTATTTTTAATATAGAGGATTATGCATTGACAGATTTGTCAATATGACCGATCTCAAAAAGAAAAAAATGATTCCAAGTAATTTAAATTCAGATTGAAATACAAAGTATTTTGCTTATTGAAAATAT